GAGAGAATCATTGTGCCCTGCCCGGTTTGGCTCAATGGATAGAGCGTCGGCCTGCGGACTGAAGGGTCCCAGGTTCGATTCTGGTCAAGGGCATGTACCTTGGTTGTGGGCACATCCCCAGTGGGGAGTGTGCAGGAGGCAGCTGATCGATGTTTCTCTCTCATCAATGTTTCTAACTCTCTATCCCTCTCTCTTCCTCTCTGTAAAAAATCAATAAAATGTCCTTTTTTAAAAAGAGAGAGAGAGAATCATTGATTGACTGCCTCCTGCACGCCCCCTCCTGGGGATTGAGCCGGCAACCAGGGCATGTGCCCTGACTGAGAATCAAACTGTGACCTCCTGGTTCATAAGTTGACACTCAACCACTGAGCCATGCTGGCTGGGCAATATTCCACATGTTTTAATGACTAAAACAATTATAGTTACTATTAGAATACCAGTAGGTTACCAAGTAAAACTAAAAAAAATTACTTCTAGACCTCTGTTCTGTATCTGCCCAGGACTGCCTTGTGGTCACTCTGGGGCCTTGTCTGCTCCTTCCTCCACTGGGGTCCATCTCTGGGGTCTCTCAAACACAAACTCCCCCGCCTCTGCACTCTGTAACCACATCAGTACCCAAGACACCCCAGCGTTAACTCCTCAAGGTTTGAACGACAGACCCTAGGGCAACGTTAGGTAACGAGCATGATAATAAAGTGAGCCAAGACAATGGGACTAAACAGGGCCACCCCGTGAGCAGGTCACAGAACAGTGTAAGGACTTTCGGTGCTAGAGTTTGGGCCAGACATTCTGATAGCACTGAGTCAAACTACTTCTCACACGATTATACTGAGAAAATTTGATTAAATTCAAAACCATCACCACCTCTGGGCATTTTAGAGACAGTGACTGATTTCTTGATCTTGAATACTTGCTTTAAATTGAAAGAACCTCTAAAATAGAAACAATGTTCCCATAAAATACACAATATGCAGAGAACACAATAAGGGCTAAACTAACCTTGGTTTTAGCTGACTCATTTGAAAGACCAAGATATATAGACGTAGGTCTGAAAAATAAACATACCGTTTATTTCTTTTCAGACACTAAGATAACAGTTTTGGATTTTTTTTTTTCCTTTTTAAATTTACCTCATTTGAGGCCAATTTCCATCTTAGGTGGACACAGAGGCTGAAGAGGCCATCTGAAAGCAAGGTGGTAACTAAGCCCCTAGACTAGCATGGGTGGGGAACGTCTGGCCCTCAGGCCATATAAGGGCCAAGAAATCATTTGGCCTGGCCCTGCCAAAGCATTAGGGGTGAGTTAATTAAAACTCGACCAAATATAGCAGGCTAACTTTTAAATTGCTAATTTTGTATAGCCGCGAATGATGTTATAAATATCCAAATGGCCCTTGGCAGAAAAAAAGGTTCCCCACCCCTGCCCTAGATCAACCTTTTATTTTATTTTTAGTTTTTGAACAGGATATCAATTAGAGATGAATTTCTAGATCAGTAGGCGACTGCATGATTTTAATCTTCTCTGCTTCGGTGAACTCAACTCATATCAAGAAGCTAATTAGAAGGAATCACACTCTAATAAAAAAAAAACACTAATTGCTGATACACAGCTCAACTGTCAGAAATTAAATAGTGGCTTTGGTATAACTGATCCGATATGTGAGCAAGATTCAGAGACCTTCAATAGAAAATGGTGATGAACCAACCATAATTGGGTAGAAAGATGTAAGATGAGCTAATGAGCCCTCCCCGGCTGCGCCCCTCCGAGCAGGCCTTCTCTGTGATTTCACAGCCTCTCCTCGCCTTGCAGGGTCTCCAAAGGTCAGCACCAGAGGGCTCTCTTGGGTCCTCTGCAATGTTCTTTTCTCAAACTGTTCTTAGAATTTCCATCCACTTTTCATGCCTTCCGTGAAGACCTGCACAAGATGCTCACATATCTTACCTCTACTCCTAACTGCTCTCCCACAAATTTAGGACTGCATTTCCAAAACTTTTTGAACATCTATTATCATCTCAAATTCAATGTATTCAGAGCCAAACGCATCATCATCAACTGATTTCCCTCCCTTCTTCCCTCCCTCCCTCCCTCCCTTTCTCCCTCCCTCCCTTTCTCCCTTCTTTTCTCCCTCCCTCCCCTCCATTAATTGGCCCTGAGGTAGGCCTGGAGCACAGATGAGGACAAACCACTTCTGACCTTTAAGGGACTCAGAGTCTGTACCCAAATTGGATCCAAGTATCCTACCTACCCTAAAAACAAAACAAAACAAAACAAAACAAAAACTTATTAAGTGCACAAAGCAACCAAAGCCAAGAAGGATTGAATGGCTTAAGATCACGTTGTCTATTGGCAAAGCTGGAAGTTAAACCCAGGACAAAGGAGAGAGAGAGAGAGAGAGAAACATCAAAAATGAGAGAGAATCGTTGATAGGCTGCCTCCACACCCCACACAGGGGATCGAGCCCACAACCCGGGTATGTGCCCTGACCAGGAATCGAACCGTAACCTCCAAGTTCATAGGTCGACACTCAACCATGCTGGCTGGACCCAATCTTATTTCTTATATTCCCTATGGCTGCTTGCTCCAGAAAAACTGGTCATTGTATTGTTATATAATATGCCATGAAACAAATAGCCTCCTTTTTCTTTGTTTTCACAATTTCTCCAACTAGAAACATTCTCCTTCTTCCTCTCCACTTAATTAAATCTTACCCTTCCTCCAATCTAGAGCTCCTATCTCACCTCTTCTATAAATCCTTTCCCAACTCTCTCATCCCAAACTACTAGAGCATTTATTTCCTGAGCCAGAAAACCCAAATCTCAACAGTGGAAAATACCCATAGTTCACATTTGGGTCAAGAAGCTAATAAAATGGCAGAATTTTCCCATCAAATACCTTCAAAAGTAATTTACAAGGTAAGATTATAGTACACTCACAAGAACTGCATCTCTATAAATCTGTCAGGATCTTTAAGTAGGGGGCGGGAGGAGATTCAAAATCAATAAATAATTCACCGACATTGAGATCTGCTGTTTGGACCAGAATAATTTTACAAAGACACTGCCAAAGTTTCATGCCTTCATTTCATTTTGCAAAGATTGTCAGGAACCAGCTTATGAGTACGATCATGAGAAGAAAGCCTGCCTAGTGTAAAGACAAATCATTACAGAGGCTATAAACACACTATACTTTATCTCCCCTTCCTGTTTCTGGTGATTTTTTCCCCACACGATACAAACAAAATAGTCTCATTTAAAAGATACCATTTCTATGTATCACTGTTTTAAAGGATGTTTTTCTGAGTCCTGGTGAAAAGATGCCTTGTGATAAAACCCAATGCAGTTCCTATCTAGAATTCAAAAACAGTTATTAAATGCCTTACTTTAATATACATATATCTCTATCATGAAGCTTCGGGTAATGGAAGTAAGCGTGAGGAGAGGAAAATCCAAGGTAATCCTAGTCTTTCTACCTGTGGATTGGAAATACGCAAGACTCACCTGTGGACCTCCCACATCTTCCTGACCACCAGCGTGTGCTATCCCTGAGTCCCACTCCCAGGGGATATGAGAATCAGGACGGTATTCATCAGCCTGGGTCTCGAGACCCCTGGACTGCCCACACACTGGGCCATCCTGCTTGTTCCTGCTGCCTCCATCCCGCTCAGTCATTTGCTGCTGAGACTTGTAACGCCTTCCTGATCTTTTCAACATCGTTGGGCTTGACCTATTTTGATAGGTGTCTGTTCTAGCCCTTCAAGACTGTATGTTCATCCTGATTTAACCTCTTGCTGGTTTAATCCATCATGTCTGACTATCCCTTTGCTCAACCGAGCAGTGGACAGTCTTCTGATGGGAAAGAAGATTCAGCTCCAACCCACTTCTCCAACCTATTTTCCTGTGGGAACCCTTTACGTCAAACAACCTGACCCATGCACGGATCCTTGAAGGAGCCATGCCATGCACATCCCCGCTGTTTCCCAAAAGTCCCCATCCTGCAAGACGGACCCAGTTCAAGGCTCTGCTCTCAAGAAGCCTTCTCTGGCTTCTCAGTCTGATAAGCGGCCTCGCCTCTGAACCAGTGTGCTGGCTGCCTGCATTAGTGACTCCAGCAGCAGGTCTCACAAAACAATAGTCTCAAAGAAGTCTCATCGATGTCTGGTACACACACAGGGCGCCTGGTATAGAACATGTAGTCAATAATAGTTACTGAGTGAATTAAGGACAGAGTCGTTTTCAACCAAGCAATTTTGCCCACCAGGGGGACATTTGGCAATACCCAGAGATAGTTTTGGTTGTCATGACTAGCATCTGGTGGGTCAAGATCAGGGTTGCCATGAAACAGCCTACAATGTATAGGACGAAGATTATCCAGCTCCAAATGTCAATAATGCAGAGGTTGAGAAACCCTACACTACAGTCAGGCTAATCAGAGACAAATTTCTAACTATCGATACTAACTGCTTGGCCTTGAGTAAGTTATCACATTTCTCTAAGTCTCAATTTCTCCATCTGTAAAATAGGGGAGTAACTATAATTGAATGTGTGTGTGTGTGTGTGTGTGTGTGTGTATGAAATAAATTAGATAGTGCATACAAAGTACTTAATAGTGCCCTAGCTGGTTTTGCTCAGCGGTTAGAGCATCAACCTGTAGACTGAAGGATCCGGGGTTCAATTCCTGTCAAGGGTACATGCCTGGGTTGTGGGGCTTGATCCCCAGTAGGGGGCGTGCAGGAGGCAGCTGATCAACGATTCTCTCTCATCATTGATATTTCTATCTCTCCCTCTCCCTTCCTCTCTGAAATCAATAAAAATATTTTTAAAGTGCTTAATAGTGATTGGTGCATAGAAAGTGTGACCTATAAACATAGCCTATGAGCATTCTTACCATTAACCTTCATTTACTTCTCAGAATGATGACGAGGCTCTTCAGATGGAGTCTTTATGCTCTTAGAACAATCCCACAGTGAGTGTTTTTTACCAAAATAAGGCCCGCACTCCCCTATATGTTCAGATTATATATATATGTGCTCACCGGGGGCTCAATTATGAAAATGTTATTCAAGAAGAGTATGCTGTCCGCCTGAACCAGCCTTCTCTGATTCTCAAAGGTGCGGGAGAGAATGGAAATCCGTTCTCGGAGCAAAGGATCACTAACAAACTCTTGAAACTCGTCAGTCTCATCCTTTTCCTCTTTGATCAGATCCTCACACACCCTGAAGGGAAACGGAAAACATGAGATTCACTTTGGTACTCCCATGAAGACCATGGTAAAGGGCTCCCCGCTCCACTCCAGCCTCCGGGGAATGATCTCACCCATCACCCTGGGGCGGTCCCTCCTTGCCCTGAGGGTGTAACGTGCTATCTGAGTGACCTTCTACTTGAACTTCTCAAGAGCCTCAGTTTCCTCTTTAGTCACTTCCTTCAAGAAGTCCTCCTGGGCTTCCTGTCCTCCACTTGCTTTCTCCTGAGCCATTATGCATATTTGGACAAATATTTTATTTTAGGTAATAGTGTTTTTCCAAGTTGCTGTTTAAACACTTAACATCTACTCTACCTCTCACACTTCAAGGACAATTTTGTTCCTGTTAAACTTGCTTAGCTTTAATTCTTTCTTAGATGGAGAACAAAATTGAGAGCCAGCGCGTACTGGGTTTGGATGCTGATTCTACTATCTATTTACTAGCCCTCTATTCTGCCCTCACCACAGATGTGATCACATTACTCCTGGTAGCCATGACTTCACCTGAATTTTTAAAAAATATATCTTTATTTATTTCAGAGAGGAAGGGAGAGGGAGAGAGAGAGATAGAAACATCAATGATGAGAGAGAATCATTGA